AACCTACTTAGTGAAATTCGGTACAGCGATAGTTTAAGACCTGGGAAAGGATATCTAAAAGTTTGAAACTATTCGTTAAAATTCCGGCGTTCTCTGTTCTAAATCACTATATTTACATACATACATACATAACATCACGCCTTTTATCCCCGAAGGGGTAGGCAGATGTGCACATTACGGCACTTAATGTCATTGTACAATGTGACACCGCCTTACCACTACTTATGTTATAAGTTCCAAGTAATACGGGGGTGAGCCTATATTTATATGATTGAAATGTTATGTAATGTTATAATTGACTTTTGATTTTGACTTTGACTTTGACTTTTACTATGACTTTGACTTTGACTATGACTTTGACTTTGACCAGAATAGTTTTTATTACTGAAAACGTTTTGACGTGACTGGGTAATAAACAAACACACAAACTCAAATATTTTTACATTTATAATTATTTAAACTTATATTTGCGTTTGGTAACTGTGTCTCTGTGTTAAAGCCGCACAATTAAGTTTGTTTTTCCGTGTATATCTTACAAAGTGACTAATTTTTGTATCATTCATAATGACTGGTCTTTATACATAACAACTAAATCGCTTAGTCAATGTGATAAATTAATCAGTTTAACCAGATATTATAAACTATCTCGCGCCACGAAATGATAAAAAGTAGCCTTGTGGCATATACCAATACACACAGCGCCATCTATACCAATACTTTTGTTTTCCCTCGGGAATATCAATTTTTCCGAGATAACCCTATTATTTAATCCGGACTTCTAACTTTAATTCTGCAAAAATTCAAAGCAATCGGTTAATTAGTTACGGCGTGAAAGCTGAACAAACCAACAAACAAACTCACCTTCCGATTTATAATATTAGTAAGGATAAGGATAATAGTAGAGTCATGTTAACTAAAGTGATAAAAATGCGATCTAACGACCCAGTCACGAGTGCGGTCTTAGCGATGAGCAGGGTAGCAACGTTGAGAATCGTGGCCGGACGACTAGTCGAAATCAAGACGACCTGGGGGCCAAAAATTTATAATTTCGACCACGCTGCTCAACATTTTCGACATGGGTATCGTTTCCATGGTTTTTAGGGGTGGTGAAAATGATGATGTTGTCAAAATGCAAATCCAAGATGGCCGCTGCACGAAACTTTCAATTTTTCGTCTTGGGTATCGTTTTCATGGTTTTCGGGGGTGGTGAAAATGATGGTGCTGTCAAAATGTAAATCCAAGATGGCGGCTGCACGACAGCACCCCCGAAAACCATGAAAACGATGCCCATGAGTTATGAGTAATATCAAATTAATCACTTTGGCTGTAACATATATACTTTTTCGGAATTAATAGTATCCAGTGTTATGCCCAGAACATTAAAGTATAATCATACGAAGTTTCATCGTCATCAGACCGGTAGTTTTTGCGTGATGCGTGAACATACAGACAGACAGACAGACAGACTAACAAACAGTTTTTAATCACATTTTGGCTTGGGCTGTTTATCAAGTAACATTCCCTACTATTTTGTTTTTTTTTAATACATATTTTCAATGTTCAGTGAATTGACACTTTTATAGTTTTATTGTACAGGGTTACAGGTTAAGTCGACCTGATTTCTTTAAGAGGTGGTAATATGCATCATTCCCGACCAATTTGCATGAAGAACCCCATATCCCAAACTTAACCGTACTCAAGATATCATCTTTAAATTACTTTTATAAAAATTCGAGGTGTTTGTCAATTGCCCTTTTTATGTATTCTGTGTCTTAATTTTGTACTGTTTTATGCTATTTTGTGTAGAAGATTAGTTGTTTAATTATTTGAAACCATAAAACTGCAAGTGACTATACCAACAGAGGCGTAGCAGGCATAAAATAAATTTCAAGGCCAATATCTGGACGGTTAAGTTTGGGATATGGGGTTCCTTAGTCAAATTGGTCAAGAATGATGCATAATACCACCTCTTAAAAGATTAAGGTCGATTTAACCTGTAGCCCTGTACGTTTGATGATTTTATTCCAAGACAACTGTAAAACGATTTTGCTTTCACTGCTGTAGTATTGTCCTGAATCCTCAGCGTACGATGGAGTAAGCTCCTTAACCGCTTACATTGTAAACATTCGTTGGCAAATGCGATTCCATACATTTGTACTACTGCATAAGCGAATATTATATTCCATATATATTTTAGAAGTGTTTGTGTTGCTTAAGCGAAGCGAAGTACAAGAGTTTACTTTGTTTGTTTGTATTTAAACGGGTCTGAAATTATTGAAATGGTTTGATAAAGTATTTTGAATCGCGTAGTGTATTAAGCGAGGAAGACTATATTATAGTCTATTATAAGAAGACTATATTATTATAGTCTTCCTAGTTAGTATAGTTTTAACACATCGTGCTGTGACCCATAAAATTGGTGTATCAACTAAAAATGTTTGCAAAAAAGTGAAGTTTTGTTGTGTATGTTGACACAAAAGTTAAGTTTCATGGAAATAGTTATGTTTAAATAGTTTATAAAATGGTTCATAGTGTGACAGAATAACCCTTAAGTGGCTTTTCACGTGCTCCGGTTTTTAGGCAGCTAGTGCCACTAACCCGGTGATAAATGTACTTTGTCAATTATTGGACCGTGTGACAGCTGTATAGTACGTTTTGCTACCGGTTTTCCGGTATTGGCTTAGCAAACATCAGGGCATCTACACTTAACCGGCACAGCTTCAGGCCAGCGATGAACTTGCCATTTAAATATGAACTTTAAATCGTATGTCCTATAGGTAATATATTTCTTAACGTCAAAATGCAAAAGCTGTAAGCACACCGCTCGCGACAACAGCACACTTACAACCTACGTATTGTTTTCAAAGTAAAAAACGCCGTGCCGAAGTCTTGCCGGAGCCGTGACGGATCCGTATTTGACCAGTATGTTCTGACCTTATTTCACTATGACTTGACATACTTACTTGACCTCTAGGTTTGACAAAGTGTTTTTTTTTATATTTGATAAGCGAACGCATAAGCAACCTATTCACTCGGGCTTGAAGACACCCAGTGTCCACAAAGATCTTCCATCTGGATCAATCTTAAATCTTCTACTTTTTACTATGACTTTTATGTAATGCAATATTTGCGAAGGATTATTTTTACCATAACTCAGCTGGCAATAATGTAATGTTAGCCTGCCGCCAGCACTGATACCCGTTCTCCATTAAGTATATCTACGGTATCATCATGAGCAACTCGTGACAGCTCACTGCTGAAATACAAGCCTTCTGTACATGAGAGAGTTAGCTGTAATCTCCACGATTGGCGGGCGGCATCAAGAATATTTGCACCGTCTCTGGCTTGTTTCTTCACTACAATGCAAAAGAGGTGTGTCTCCTTAGGGTCAATTAGCCTCCTTATAGTAATGCCCACATCACGCACGAATTTATGTACCAATGAACGCGCAACTTTTTAAATCTGTGCTGTAATGTGTGCATTACGCTATGGAGATAAGGTTGAAAATAATTAGATGATCGTTTCGATACACACTGATCTTGTTCCCCTATAAAACACGTGGTGAGTACAGTAAAAGCTAGTTACAACGGCAGATTAACTCTGATCTCAGGCTGTATAGTGTTCTAGGTCTCGCATGGAGTGGTGAAATATAGATGTAATCTTACCTTAAAATTTTATAAAATTATATTGCATTATCTTACTAGCACCAGATTTTGAACGAAGTTTGTCTTTATTAAATAATAGCAAGAGTCTTTAAATCCAACTATCTATGCCAGACTCATCGTGGCCATGAGAATTATTGAAGTAGCGAGCGAGAAATATTAGGATCCGTCCAAACTACATACGAAATTTCTATGATTCTTGAAGTAACAGATGTATGTATGTGCATATGCACGTGCTTTTGCTCGCGACTTCGTCCGCGGAATAATAACATTGGTCTGAGGTTGGATTTTTCTACTTATCGCCTTTTTCAAGATTATTTCTATATATGGGAGTAAATTGTATACAATTCGATTCAGTACTTTAGTTTTCCTCTAATGTAAGGTTGTAAAAGATTCCACGATTGTGAAATATTTAGTCAAAGTTTTACCCATGTAGTTTCCGTTTCAATTCGTTCGACTTTCATTAAAATAACTAAAGTTTTTTGACACACAGTCCAAAGGTTTTATCCGTGCCCTGTTTTTTTAATCCCCCATCCCGTCAGATTTCCGGGATAAAACTATTCTATACCCTTTTGCAAGCCTCAAACAATAATTGTACAGAATTTCAGTTCAATAAATTCAGCAGTGTAAAAAATAGAGTCCCGGAATTTTAACGCGTAAATCCCGTTTCCGTGGTATATCTAGAATAAAACCTGTGTAAGTCCTTTTCGGATGTCAAAAGGGCGGACATAGTATCTTGAACCAACGACTGGGGTACCGGGCTACTATAAACTTATACACAGAATACACACAAACAAAGGATATCAGGTGGCGTGACATGGCCCGTCATTACTTCACTTCACTTCATACATTACGGTGTTACAAGTACATACACACATAAATACACCACTGACATTTTGGTGCTTTAAATGACTTGTAAGTGACATTACGTCCCCTTTTTTTCAACGTCCTTGTGTCAAACTATCTTTGTAGGGGATTTATATCAAATAGGTTCAATGGTCGCCAGCGGGCTATAGAGAGCAATATCTTAGGAGTTCGACTATCGGACTGAATTAGGAAAACCACGCTGCGCTCCACGACTAAAATCGCTGACGTTGGTCATAAATTAAAAGCCTTAATAAATAATAAGGTTTAAAAATAATATTTTTACAATCTAAGCATTCTCAATCGACCGTATTTTTTTAAATTTTGTATTTTGTTTTTGAAAAATATTGTGAATTTCAGATAGTCATCAAACGTCAGCCCATCAAATATTTAAATAATATTTTTACTGTTATATTATAGGTATGAGTGATACACTTTCAGTGTTTACATAACATCTATTATTGTTGTTGACAGGATACCTGAAACTTGTCCGACTTGGTTCGTCTTAGGCAGACGAGCCCAAAACGGCCTTATCATGTCAATTCCGATTGATCACTGTAATCCATCCACGTCCTCAATCCCGACTACCACGACCTCGAGGTCTAATTTAATGCCGGAAATACACTATGCTGCTGCCGAAGCTAACGCGCGTCAACATCCAGCATACCAGCAATATGGATACGCGCAACCACCACCACACCAGAACCTTATGCAAAATTTACAAGTTCAGCACCGACTACCACCAGCAAGTAATGCGACAATGTATGGGGCACTGCCGCCTAATTACTACCCGGCCCAACATCCTCTTCGACCAACCCCTGTTTACCCAGGTAATTACAATAACTATTAAAATTTTATCCAATAATTTTTGATATACCATTCAATTTCAAACACCGTTCTTATTGTGCAAGATTTTCCAGATATACCAAAACTAATATTTATTTAGTCCAATCTATGAATTCAAATTCAAATCTTTTAGAAAAACAGGGCTTAAAATGGCTAGTGTTTTTGGCAATCACATCGATAAACCATCTATGAAAACATGATTATATTTATAGTTATAGCATTATACCGGGCTTTTTTAAATACTAAGGCCCCGACCACACTAGTGCGGTTGAAATCTGTCGCAGTTTCGCGCTTGTGTGGCCGGGGCTTTAAACGGCAGCATTGGATTACCTACTAACATCCTGAGCAACAAATCATTTGTACGACTTTTCAACTTTAAATAGACATACTCATATGAAAGACGATTCATGTCAAGAAAACTTATTGTTTTTCTTATCGTGAAAGAATCAGATAGTTATAGAACGCACTTGAATATTGCATAATTTGTACCTATTATTATGTATAGGCTATTGACGATTTGTTCACAGGATACCCACCGTATCACATGATGTATCCTACGACTTACCCTCAAGAGACCTACAGGCAAGTACTTATTACTACAGCTGTTCCACGTACTCACATTCACTTAAAAATTAAGTTTTTAAAAAACCTGTGGTGATTGGGCACCTATCCACGTTGCATCAGTAGACTCCATGCATCCATCACAAACAATAGACGGCTTGCCGCCTATCGTCTTCAACGAATGCGTCCATACAATTTGAATTGGTTTGAAACAGCACCCATAAGACGAGCTAAAATAGTTTGAGGCCATGTTAAACAATATTTATAAAAATAACTTTCCCTATACAGAGGTAGTGGACCTTCGTTGATTCCTCCGTTGGAAGACCACCAGCTGTCCCAGTTTCATCAGCCCACCGCCGACTATTCGGAGCAAGAGTTGTAATATGACCACTATTTTATTATATTTACTAATTTTATTTAAAGTTAACTACTATAAAAGCAGTAGTTTAATTCATATTAAGTTAGTTAACAAAAAACTTGTAACTGAGAAAGATGGTAAGAACATAAGAGTGAAAATAAAACGAAAAGTATCAGTTACGTCTACTTACAACATTTTTAACAATTTAATGTTTGGTTAGCTTTGAAGGTATACCGCACTAGCTTTGATATACATTGACCGTGTTAAAAGTAAACTTCAAAATTTAAAATCAGTTAGTACTTGTAAGTTAATACGCCGTTCAATATTTTTTTTAGTTTTGTTTGGTCTAACAGTATTTATGAACTCATGATGATTTATGCATAATAAATAATTATTGTCGCTTAACACCACGAGCTTCAAAATAGTCTCCACAAAGTCAATAAGACTACGTAGATTTAATTTTGATTATATTATTATTATCAAAATTAATTATATTTTACCACTTGACCAAGGGATGGTACTTTAGGCGTCTGGTACAATATAATAATTATCAAAATTTTATCATTATCAAAATTAATTATTGTTTTTGAATCAAGTTAAGCTTCACTTAAGTATTCAATAATGCTACAATTAAATTACATTACGTTTAAGAACTTTCACCATCACCAAAGATGTAACTAATATTCGAATTTGGATTTAATAAATTATTTTCTGTTATCAAACAAATTGTTACTTTCTTAGATTTATAAAAATAAATGATTATGTACAGGCAACACCAGAGGTATGAAAATCTGAGAGCTGGTTTTAGTGAGACGTCCGAGCAAACGACGGCGTTAGATTTGTCGGCTCGACACAGGGAGGTCACTTTAGGTAAGTAGTGAGTAAAGACATCGAAAATTTTCAAACCTTACTTATTTTCTGAGATGAAGAACCACATAATATAATAGGTTAGCAGCACGTACAATGAATACACCCGCTAGCTTCGACGAACGATTAAATCTCAGGTATCGGGTGCAACAGGTACCAATCGGGCTAACTTTACTTATAGTCTGAGGTCCGATTTTGAGGCATGTTGTACAGAATATTGTAACAACATTTTCCACCAGCTATCCTTTAGGTGTGTACTGTATAAATGTACCGGTAGATAGTAAGCTTATCATCTACGTTATTTTATTTGTTTATAGTTTTTTTATTCCCCAAAATTTACTTCTTACACGTGCAATTAGTATATTTTAAGATGTAAAAATATATTCGATTAAATAAATCTTTTTCACAGGTACACCTCAGTATGCTCAAAGTTCAACACAACAACAACAAAATTCAGCTCCAAGATTAACGTATGTAATCACTTATATTATATTAAATAAACCGCAAGACATAACATAACATAACATCACGCCTTTTATCCCCAAAAGGGTAGGCAAAGGTGCACATTATGCCACTGTACAATGTAACACCCACTTTTCACTATTTATGTTATGAGTGTATTGCCACATACCGGGCACATTTCCAGACTCCGTGCTACTACTAAGATTTATAAAAACCCAGTAATACTTTGCCCGACCCGGGAATCGAACCCAACACCCCTTGCCCGGCAGTCGCACTTGCGACCACTCGGCCAACGATGCAGTCAATCGAACTCAATCAAAAAATCAACCGCAAGCCATATTTTATTTACTTGCCCGAAAATATTCAACAAGTTTTTTTTATACAGGTTCACTAACTCTGAGATGGTGCTATTAAAAGATTTCATCAAGGTGATTAAGGACGCCTGTGGAAATGGTTGTCATGGAAGAACAGTGCACGATTCTTATGGAGGTACGTGTAAAAGTTAACAATTTAATTTTATAAACATTGCTGTAGTTTGTTCTTGTTTAGCATCGTATGAACGATATGTTCGTATGTACATATGTATATGGAATGCTCCACTATACTACGTGAGGTTTTCTAATAGTCCAAATAGATCAATTTATATGACATTGCACTACATGTGAATTGGTACAAAATTGATAAATAAGATAGCATGATCAGGTAAAAATAATTCCTTTTCCTTTAAAAAATCACTAGTACTTTTTTCCTGTGATCGCGAGTGCGTTTACAAACAAATAATTTTACATACACATAACTCTCAAGCCCAAGACAACAATTTGTGGATCACATAAAGAGTTGCTCCGTGCAGGAAACAATTATGTAGGTCAAATAATATATCGTAAATAGGTCAATATAATGTATTGACTGCACTTATTGAGGATATTACCTTATTCATACATTGCCTATTTGCTTGAGGGTATTTCTAAAAAAATATTTGTTCACAGCGTTATACTTACTACAGAATTAGATACTCAGCGATCTCAACTACTAGTGCTCGGTAATTTTACTAACAAATCAGATCTAATTTCATACATTCTATTACCGTTAGACATACCGATTTAACTATCTACAATAAAAAAGAACAAAATCTTTTCTTTGAATGCAAACAACGATTCTTTATGTAACTTTTCTATTAATTCAGAAGACAAATTTGTATGAAAACTTCATACGAACTGTTTATTCATTTTTTTTTCAACCGACTTCAAAAAAGGAGGAGGTTCTCAATTGGACTGTGTGTTTTTTTATGTTTGTTACTCGATTACACGAAGACACCTGGACCGATTCCAAAAATTCTTTCATTTGTTTGAAAGGGTAGACTTGTCAATTGGTCTCATTGTCATGAAGTCAGGATCTGATGATGGAATCCCATGGTAACCGAGGGGAACTTTTAAAAATTATGCAACTAGTGCATTTGTTAATTTTTTAGTTAAGTATTTAAAACTACTACAATCTGATAAAGGTCTGGAGCTGAATTGATGATGGAGCCGATAGACAGTCAAGGGAACTCCTGAACAGTTAACAGTAGCTACATTGTGTTTGGGTTTCATTAATTTGTATTGATGAATACTTTATATCTAGGTGGTATGTCGTCTTGGTGGTATCCAATTAGGCTCTGATGATGCTCTGACCGATGTGGGTTGTACATAATGTACCTAATAATATTCTAGTACTAAACTAAAAAGTATAAAATAAAAATTATAAAATTGCGTTTAAAGAATTATAAGGAAACGAAAAGTAAAAACTAAAAAGCAAATGATAACTATTATTGGTCACATGTACTTACTTATAGCTTACACACCCACTGATAGGTTAGAAGTCGGTGTAGTTGTAAATAAATAATATGTAGTTGAAAATAGTAATAATCTGGGTGGCACAATAATATAAAAATCGCTTAAAGTGCTCTAAATACGTAGGTAAATAATAATTGTTTATATACAAAATTGACATTTTACTCCTCGCACTTAGCTTAGATCCTCAATAAAGATGAAACATTAAAGTACAAAATACGAAAAATTATTGTTTGTGCAATGAAATGATAAAAAGGACAACCAACTAAAATATTATGTAAATTTGTAATATGAGTAGTTTTGTCACCAGAGCACAGCAAAGCACATTTTTATGAGCTTAAAAGGGAAAAAAATTCCACACCACATAAAAGTAAAGAAACCGGCCCTTTTATTTTATAATGTAGTCTTTTACTTCATCAAATTCTCAAAATTGCCGATTTTCAAAACTCCCGGAAAACATTCCAGGTGAAATTACCAAATTATTGAACTATTATGGGAAGTACCAGTTTTATTTTGATGATCATAAGTGAGTGAACTTTGGAACTAAATGACTTACAGACTTGACCTTTTTTGGTTTTAAGTATGTGATTATGCTTACTGGATGTTGAAAATTGAATGTTAAGGTTTTCAAATAAGGGCCTAAAAATGGGCGAAATTATTCCAGTAAAGGATCGTACGGCAGTCGGCAAAGCGTCACCGATTCTTGGTAGATGTCCCGCCCACACGCACGAAGCGCTTCGCTTCAAGCTTCCTTGTGCGTACTGCTAAGGAGTGGCATTGTTTGCCAGAGTCTGTATTTACTGAAGGATATATATAACCTGGGTGACTTCAAGGACCGAGTGAATAGGTTGCTTATGGGACGACGTGCTCCATCGTAGACCGCATCATCGCTTACCACCAGGCGAGATAGTGGTCAAACGTCAGTCCCATCTAATATATATATGTATATAACAAATCAACGATATCTTGTCTAATAAGTATTTCTTTCTCGTTTTCTTTATAATAATTTTAAATGTATCTTTATACAGTTGGTTTAATAACTGTATTGTTATGCTTATATAATATAAATAAATAAATGTGTATGTGAAATTGTATGTTTGTAAACGCAATCACGATTCAGGAGAAAATCCTTGAGTGTCGCTTCGTTTTTTAAGAAAAAAATCCAAATATAATCTGCTTGCGTTCTTTAATTTCTTGTCTATATGAATTCATTTATTTTTATTACACTAAGCGACTGCCTAATTAATACACCGATATCAAATTGATATTAAATTTACTTACTGTTTTTAACAATTTTTCCAAGTCATATGATAGTATGTCATCGGCGCCACTCATAAACACTCGTTTATGAGTGGTGCGGTCAACGCGGTCAAGGTCAACGGAATTACATATTACATATTATCGATTTTAGGGTTAAGGATTTTAAGATCGGGAGATTGAGGAATGGGTTTTAGACTCACAATAGTTATAATTAACACTAATAATGAAGATATTTAAGAGATTTATGATTTGTTCACAGTCGCGCCCGCCCCTCAACCACATTTACTACCTGCCCCAGCTGCACTACTACCACCTCTTCCGCCAGCAGTACGGCCACCATCACCACCGGGAACACAAGCCTCCCTTGCACACAGTTGTTACATTGACAGTCTACATCAGTATAGGCCTACTGTTATCGACTATATTTGTAAGGAGCACATTTTGGGATACGTTATGCCCCCAATGTGGTACCCATTGCCCCTACAGAACCAGTAAGTACTCGCATTTTTTGACAATGTTAATTAATAAAAAATAACCTGATGTATCAAAAAACTTATTAGTAAATATTATTTTTTATTTATGAAATAGCGACTAAACGGATCACCTGATGGTAAGCAATCGGCGTCACCCACGGACACCCGGAACACCAGGGGTTTACAAGTTACCGGCCTTTTGGTGATTAGGAATTTGAGGATTGCTGGGGATACAATACATTGTTTAAGTAAGCTGTAACAACAATGGGATGAATGATTACAATTAAGTAAAGTTGATATACGGATTATGCTGATTGACAATATGTTTTTATATTTTCTTTGTATGTAACCACGAAGTTGTCTACACAGGCCCCCAGTTACTTCCACTGTTACTGGATTGACTGCATCGCAATCGATAGAGGCAACTCAAGCCCCCCCATCAAATTTGCCTTTATCGTATGGCTCTAGAAGAGTCATTCGTGGCTATGATTATTATGACCATAGATATCATCCGGCTAGAACAATAGCCCCTATCCGAAGACAGATGCAGCCCCCTCCACCACCTCCACCACCTCCACCACCTCCCCCACCTCCCCCACCTCCCCCACCTCCCCCACTACCAGAACCATCACAAGAAGTAGAGGCTCCACAAAGAAGAGACCGCCACCGGCTTCATCGCAGGCCTTCTTATCAACCATATGACGCCAACGCACGACTCCTTTACGACCCGAGACTGCCGTTTAATTTAGTCGCGCCTCGGGACGTTCCATTACCGCAAAACCCGCCGCCGCCTCCCCTTGGGCACAACTCCCAACTATTACAAAATCCACCACAACAAAATGGTCGTAGACCACGGACCAACTATGAAGGCTAAAATAGATGTAAGTACAAACCCATTTTACTTAGTTATTATTAAAGACCTGACATACATATTGATATTATTAAGAAATACTGTTATAATAAATATATATAATATATAATTATAAGATTATCACCCTATTTATTTTATGCGTCGAAATACTGATTTTATTGATGTAGGGTGATGTCTTACGGGCGTCCGTCTAGCCACTAAATCTACGCTGAACGAACGGTAGGGTATAATATACCTAGGTGGTTGGTCGTTAATAAATATTTACGTATCATCAATGTTTATACTCTACTGGCAGAGCAAAAAAGAGAATAGTTATTTTACCGGTATTTATGTAATGTACACATGGTGCATAATTTTATTGGAATTGTCTATTCCCTGTAATTACTAAATCATTTTCCATTAATTGTCATTGAAAAATAAAATGGTGATAAGTATGCAATGGCACCAGCATAATAATAGGGTAGACGACTATTTTTTATTTTAATGTCCGTCTGATAGATTATTTAAAAACATTAGACACGTATTTTTTATTTTCTCACAGAAACGAATAGTTTCGAAGATATATTGATTTGAAATGTCGCGTGACGTCACTTCTCAGTACATTTTATACTAAGAAATGACGTTTTAGCCCCCACTCCTAAACTTTGATTCGTTTTATCTAAGTATTGTTTTATTATACGACAAAATAAAAAAATACGTGTCTAATATTTTTTCATTACCTAACTTACGGACTAATTATATTTTTAATTTTCATACCCTGTCATCATCCCCATTATCATACACCGATACACATACATACCGATGTGTGACGTATTGAATTAAAGGATAAATCTTAGACTTAAAAGTACGGGTCTGCCTTTTAATGCAGAAGTTTTTTCTTCATAATTTTAATTTTTTTAACAACGCATAGCATAAACTTCATATCGCAGTTGGCATATAAGTATTCATTTATCATAAAATCGAAAATCTTAATTTTATTAGTACGAATCATAATCATAATAATAATTGAAAAGCAGAACCATCATATGGTATTGCAGACTTACAGCATATAGCATACAAGCCAGCAAGCAGTATGGAAGCAGTCATGCAGCACGCAAGTAGGCATGCAGCATGCCGCAAGTATCGTTTCTGTTACGGCTCCAGCATTGCGGGATTTCGAATTTTGAATTTCAATTCTTAAGAACTAGAGAAAATTCACTATTCAGTATGTTTGTTATTTTAAAAAACGTTGACCCACACTAGGATTATCTCCTGTATCGTGGATGCGTTTACAGACATACAAGTTCACATACACATGTCACCCAGACCCGAAACAACAATTTCTGGATCACACAAAGTGTTGTTCCGTGCGGGAATCGAACCCGCGACACGTCGCACGGCTACCGGTTGCCCAGCCACAGCGCCAACCGCGCAGTCAGTCTCAGTATTTTTCTGAAACAAAAGATGAAATAAAAAACCATGATGCGCTATCCAGATTTAATAAAATAAACTTGCACGTTTGGAACAATCCTTTACCAAATGAGTCGATACTAAGTTCAATGTGAAAGTAATGTAATGGAAATAATATTTGACCACAATACTTTTGTTAATGATCAAAGAGGCACACACTCATAAATTACGGGTGCAGACTCGCTGCGGGAAATAATTAACCCTTACTCTTTATTTAATGCAAAAGTACATTTTTGTTAATCTTTCTTTCACGTTGAAACTGAGTGCTATTTTTTATGATTTTGGGTGTCTGGCTTGAGTTAGAAAACCGGGGTGCGACATAGACTTGCTTATTTTACCTTTAACCAAATGTGTGAAGCCGCAGGCAAAAAGCTAAGTCCTTTACTCAAACGAGTACAAAAAGAAAATAACAAAACTTTAACCATATTTTCCTCCAAGTTAACAAAGACACAGGTGCATTTATTTGCCCACGTGTCTGTGACGAAATAAGAAAAAATCTGTGTTATCTCCAAATGGGTTGTGTGATGTACGCATCATGAAATGTCATATTCGCCGTCAACTTAGGCGACGCATCGTGGCTAAGCAACTTAGGCACCGTGACCGTGCCGTTACTATGTGCGATGAAACTTAAGTTTCTATCCGATAACAACTGGTTGAATAGGAAACAATATTTTACAGATCGAAACCGAGTACAAATCATTTGATGGACATCAAACGCAAAAAAAGGGATTGTCTTTACATTAATCAAATAACCTGTAACCAAATAATTACCTTAATATCTTTGTAGCATACACATACATATATAACTTCACGCCTGTCTCCCATGGGGGTAGGCAGAGTAATGGAACACCAATGGCTACGATTCCTACATACCCTTTTCGCTTCATCAAGAGTCATCAATCTTTTCATGCATGTTCGTCAGTTAAGGGTACTTTTAATTTGACCCTTCTTTAATATTATAAGCATTCATAAACACCCTTAAATAAACCCACACCTCATAAACAAAAGAGATGCTTAATTCGCTCGAACGAACACCAATTAATAGGGAATTAGGAAGCTCCCCTACAAGACCAAGGGGAATGGATACTTAGTGTGAATAAGGATTACTTAATTGGTTGGCAGTAAAAAGTTAAAAAGGGAATAAAAGAACCGACTTCAAAAAGCAAAATCATCAAAAAATAACTATAATTAATATATAGAGGTAACATATTATTATATTATATTAATAACATGCGTACTTATAGGTTACCCACCCACTGATAGGTTAGAAGTCATTTTTACCTTTTGCTTGTATTTAGGTTTTGTGTTTGTTCAAATTCAAATTACTTTATTTCTACATCTTAACTTACAAAAGATGTCGCAAGCTTAATATTGATTACCTACATATGTCTTGCCGTCAACGGCGTACAAATGTATGAAATTAATTAAATTTACTATTTGTTAGTTATATAAATTTCTTTTTTCTTTTTTATAAAAACGTTGCCCCTCACTAGTATTTTCTCCTGTATTGTGGGTGCATTTACAAACATACAGGTTCACATACACATTACTACACCCAGACCCGGAACAATAATCTGTGGATCACACAAAGAGTTGTTTCGTGCGGGAATCAAACCCGCGACACGTTGCACGTCAAATAATAAAATGAAATATTTCAAACTGTACCCGTTCCGTGGCAATAGGCTCATCCCTTATTGCAAAACTGCACTGGTGATAATAGTATGTCACAGTGAAGTAAAATATATTATGTGCACCCCAGTCTAGTTCTTTGGGGATTACAAGGACTCCCGTCATGATGTACCTATGTATCGCATATTTCTAATATTTTTTTTGTATTTCTAGGTATGATGATATTTGCTCTCTGCAATGCCGTAAGCCTCGGATCTTCTTGCATCATTGATTTGACGAACGCGTCTCGCTTCATGGTTAATCGGAACAAGAGCTGCTCAGAAGCTCTAAATGTATATTGTGATTTTATTTTTATTGTGATGCAAAGTTCATGTCTAGTGTTAATTAATTATGTGGCAATGTCGTCGGTAATTATATAGTAGTGTTCTATATTAATAGTTCATTGAAATAGTACTGAAGTTGTGTGCCAAAGTACTAACTATTCGTTTCTATAATACATAATTGTAGTTTTGATCAGTATTAATAAACTTCTATCGTAGATACAAGTATTCAGATTAGTATTTAATGAAAGTAAGTATTAACAATTTTTGTGTAAGATATTTCACTATTGTTGGTGTTGATATTAATACTGTAAATAATGATTTAAAAATTTAAAACAAAAATGTCGTCAGTTACAATTTTTAGCGATAGTTTGAAGAATAAATTTGTAGGTAATATTGTGTAGTTTTAAGAATAAATGTGTAGGTAAAATCGGCTGATTGAAATAATTTAATTTAATATTACGTGTATCTGTTTAGGTTTAAATCTGCTTTCTATGTCAATTTTCTATTTCTTATTACACAATGTGTCATTATATTATTTTTATTACTTTTCCTGCCACGGGTTCTCAGGAAAAAAATCCAATAGGAATAGGTGGTGCCTTTGTACTTTAATTTTACATAATTATGTGTTGTTTTTTGTTGTATTTACATGAATAATGAATAATAATAATTAAATGTTTTGTCGACGGTGTCCCGTAAGGCAGTAACAGTGCTGGCCTGTAATACACCGAAGCGGAACCATTGCAATGTAAATAAATGTTAAATTTTAACGTTCGAAATGTTAACGTAACAAAAATGGTTCACCCTTGTTTGATCGCACAACGTTTAAGAAAATCATCACTTAGTATAATATCAAGTGACAGAATGTTCAGTTCGTCGATTATTTATTAGCTGTATTAACATTTGCGCTAATGATCAAATGGTATAATGTTCATTTGATGTAATGTTCAGACGGTATATTTTCAACTAGACAACAGTTAAACTAATCTTAAATTACTTGCAATTGCTTTTAGTAAATCGAAATTATCTAGCAAAATTTTTTGGGCATTCCGACACATTTGGCTAGGTTAGAATAGAACTGTGACCCTCACAAGCCGCGAGGCGAGCGAGCTTAACTGGCTGCCCCCCAGCAGCGGCCGCCGAGCGCTGTATCACTTTTTAAAGCTTTCCATACCATTCAGCTGTTTATATTAAAAATATTCGTTTTAATAAAATTATTGCATTTGAAAATTGGGTGTAATTAAATTAGTTCAAATAAATAAAAAAAAAATGATGCTAAATAAAAAATAATCCAATTATTCAGTCAAAGTAATAATTCTACGGAGTTACTGTATTGCAACTTAAATTCAATGAAGTGATTTTCTACGAAACATGGGTGAACCAATAAAAATTGTGATTTTTAACTAATTAAGTAACTCAATTAAAGTTATTTTACATTTGTTATTAATTTTTTAACATTGTACTACGTTATTTATGTATTTTAAATTGAATTGTTGAATTTATTAACTGTTATATTAAGAATCAGCTCAAATTATTTATTATCGACTTAATTTCATTTAGAATGAAAATGTAAACGTTTAAATAAATGTATTAAGTGTCTGAATG